GCCAAAGTTTAAACACTAATCTAATCTGTAAGAACGTACAATAATCTGAATTAGTGTAACATGGATAAATGGATGTGGATAAAAAGACAGAAGATCTTTCTGTGACTTAGAAACCGTTAAGTCCATGTTTATTTCCTTCGTTTTCATGCAAAGAATTACAAGTTTATTAAAAAATATTTAATAAAATGTGCGTTTTTGTTTTACTCTCAAAATTCCTCAAACAGGCCAGATTGAACCATTTATCAGGCCGGTTTTGGCCCACAAGCCGTATGTTTGCCACCCCTGGTCTGGACTTTTAAAACGTCATCTGGAAAGATAAAAAGCTCTGTGGACTTTTGTTGTTATAGAGTCGTCTATTCACTTATACACAGAGCCTGACTTGATGAAACCAGTTCCAGACGAGGACATACTGAATACAGACGTCTCCTGCAGCAGCACTCACTAAATCAATGCACTTGATAAGGCCACAGTGTGAGCAGATGGTGTCTGCTCTCTGCTGTTCTGAAGCCAGACACACCAGACTGGACCAGACTGGGCCAGACTGGTCCAGTCTGGTCAAGCCAGACACACCAGACTGGCCCAGTCTGGTCCAGTCTGGACCAGACTGGGCCAGTCTGAACCAGACTCAGGCAGGTTTGGCTTTTGCCACAAAATGAACTCGTCAAAATGATGGATGCAGAATAAGAAATGCCAAGACTTCCGTCCTGCTTCTCAGCGCACAGGAGAAAAAGCGAGTTACTGTCAATGATAAGACGACATAAAATAAACACAGTTTGATTAATTATTATTGTCTGGTGATTGACTTTGACTGCAGTATTTAGTATTAGTATTTAAGTATTATCAAGGTATTTTGATACCTGCTGTTGTTGATAAACTATCATATATATCTCGTAATATCTGTTAATGGCTCCGTGATTTCGAACAGGAATAAAACCAAACAAGCAACTGAACTTTATGATTACAGAAACAGAAAGACAAAACAAGCGGATATTTACTTTTTCAAACGAATCAATGTCCTTAAAACAAGTGGACTTAGCAACTATGCTTCAGCACACGGAGTAGCTAAACTTTCCCCACCGTGTACTGACTTTGAAAAGTCGAGGAATTCTGGGAATTGTTGTCATTCGCGTCCGAGCTTCCAAATGGTTTTCACAAAGTTATTCAACGGGATATGATCGTGTTTATTGGTGTTGTTCGTGCATTTACTCTTCTTGTTGTTGTTGTTACAACACTGACACTCACCAGTTTGGGAAAACCGGATCCTCGAGACGCAATGTTTGCGTCCAGGGCTGGAACCAGTGTATGTCCCGGGCCACGTCAGACCAGAACTGTTCCGGATGGTCCTTGGCTGAGGCGAAGGTTCGGCTGTATAAGTTGTCGGTCGCATAGTTTCTGCAGATGTGCGTGATTTGCGATGGTATTGCTGTCGAGACACGTTGTTGTAGATGTAGCTTGTGTTGTTGTTGTTGTGCAGCAGCAGCAACGCTACACAACTTCCGGCCGCCGCTGCCCCTCTGTCCACTCAGACGAAGAATGTGTCGCACAGGGAAATGCATGTCTGAAGATTCTAAAAATCCTTTCTTATAAATTCTCTCTCTTCTATGTTTTCTCTCGTTCCTGCGGAGTGTTAATACCCCGCTGACGTCACCTGCAGCCACCTAAAGGCAGTGCAGAATTCTGCAGGATTCTTCCCATTTACTTGAAGATTGAACTATGAACTGGATGTAATCGATTTCCTTTTTCTTCAAGTTACAACTGTCTCACACACACAATCATCCCCCCCTCCTCCCACCATTGTTCTCGGAGAGCGCCCCCTTGTTCGCTTTTCTCACAGACAGTAAAGCACAATAAAGACCACAAAAATCATAATTTTTGTGTGTGATGAAACAAAATCAACAGGTTCTTGTCTCTGGAACAGTTTTTGGTCTCACCAGTGACTGGACCAAATTTCCTGGAATTCCCAGTCAAAACGTTTCACAGTGCTGGACAGGGCTGTCGTGAAATATAATATGAACTGTCCAAAAATGAATGCATGCCGTCCCAAAGAAGAATGTTATGACACTATTGTTTACCGTATTAGGAATATTTGGGAATAATTGTATGTTCATTTAATACTACTTTAGCCTAGCTAGCTAAATATGCTGCCGATATCATAACAATATACTGCGTGTATCTATTTGTCTATTTCTGTGCTTTTCCTAGCTAACTATTAGCCATCTTTTTTAGCTTACAGTTCTCAATTGTATTTCAATTTGTGGGGGTGTTGGGTAGAGGAACGTGAAAACATTTCTGTCCTCAAGGCGGGGACATGACAGGAAATAATTAAGAACCACTGTTCTACGTACACGTACATCATTAGAGACAATGGATTAATAATAAAACATATTTGGTTTGAGAAGTTCAATCATAAACTTGTCCTTATTTCTTATTTTTATCCGTACCGCTGTGTGTGAAATTTCATCAAAGCAGCTGCCATTTATCCCGTTGCTCTCCGACATGATGTAATGTTTGTTTTGTTTTGTTCGTAACTCAGTATTGATTCACGTTTCATCACTTTCCACCAAAGCAGGCAACATGTAATCTATATTTATGTAAATTCATCACTCCCAAACCCCCCAGAAAGAGAGACGTCTCCGTCCTCTCTACTCCTCTTTTTTCTCCTCTTTTCTCCTCCTCTTGTCTCCTCTCAGGCTATAATTTTTCTGGCCTAAAGGTCTTCACTAAATCACTGCTCAGCGCAGACACTGCTCTAACTCTTTTTTTAACAGCAGTGAGAAGCTCTTGGCAGAATATGTATCACTCTTACACTCTGAAGAAGGACGTGAACGGGGCACTAACTAATCCTGTCCTGGGGAGTCCAATCAGACCCGGAATCCAAATCTGGTTCCTCCACGCTGCCAATGTCTCCGACTTTAAGTGATGTCTGCGAAGCAGTCAATTTATCTGAGAGATTTTTTTTTGTTCTTACTACTGAACATGGATGGTAATTACATTAGCTTGAAGATAACAGCTGCAGATTTACATCTGAAATGTGTTTTAGATGCAGAGGCTTTCGCTCCAGAGTTTGGATTTTGTCAGTCGTCGTTATTCATGGTTTAGAGAGCAATTACACGGCATCGCAGCTGAATAAGGAGTGATGAGAAGTGAAGGATGGATGTGAGAAAAGGTGGTTAATCTTAGACGCCTGTGAGGATGAGTGTGTGCAGCTCGTTAAGACGGAGATAGTGTGGAGGAGACTTTCAAGCCATTAAAATAACACTAAATAAAAAAAAGTATGAATAATCTCCTTTAAAAATAAACCACAGGTAAATGAAACATATCTAATTTTTCTCAATGACTCTTTGACTGAAAGCTCATTGTGCTCTGTCACTGCCCTCTGTTTGTATTTTCTCTTTTAATCCCTTTTTCAAGCAATTAGTCAGCGGTGAGGTACACCTTCCCTAGAGCCAGAGCTCTCCAGGGTTGGTGACACATAAAAAAAACAACAATAACAAAATAAACTCCCAGCTGCATGGCCTAAAATTGAAAATAACAATTTTATTTTAATTTAATAATTTAAATATAATTTATATAATTTTAAAAAATAATTTAAAAATATTAATATTATATATAACATATATATTATGTTATTTTAGTTTGTGTTTGATGAAACAGTAAACCTTGAAGGTCAGCTAAATTGCAGGAGCTGGCTTTGTTCATACGTCCTTGTGAACTACTGGCCATGGTCCATTGTCCTGCAGTTCCATACTCATATAAACTGTTTAAATCAAAGGCCAGAGAGAGAGAGAGAGAGAGAGCACTGAGAGAGCACTGAGAGATTACAGGCATCTGTCCATATGGCACAGAATACAGTTCAAAGAGGTGGGATTATGCTGCAGTGTCCTTCAAGCCGTCCAACTGCAAATAAATTGATTTGTGAAAAAGGATTCCACTCGAGCAAAGAAGGGCTTCAAAAACAGATGAGTGGTGTGAAGATGCAAACTCATTACAGCGGTGTCAGAGCTTCATTTGAGTTCATATTTTCTATTTGGAATGAAATTATCACCTTCCTCTCTGAGACCGTACAATCAGTTTCACTGTTTTTTGTTGACCGCCCTTGATAGGCGAACGGCCGTGAAGAAGAGATGCACAGATATATTATTTACGTATATATATTAACCCTTTAGGAGGCATCGTAGGGCGTGAAATATGGGAAAAAAATTAACAAAACTTTCACAAATCTCATTTACCTGTATGCACCCCTGTATGTGTGTGTTACAAAATGTATTTTCATTTATTTTTTTTATTATTTTTGTCAATTTTTTCTTCTTAGGCTAGAAAATGTTTATTTTTATGATGGAAATAATGAAAATATTGAATTTTTTTTTATATTCTTGAAAATATTGGATTTTTTTTTTTATATTCCGCAAAAACCCAGAAAAAAGCTGCAATACAAGAATACAGTTACAGTAGAATATTAAAAACCCACAAAGCACTGAGGGCGCGACAGCCGGACCGTGATACTACTTCTATTACAACTACAACTTTTTCTTCCACGACTATCACTACTACATCTATTACTACTGCTAGTACTTATTATTCCCATTCTACAAAGTGCCCTGTGTCATGAAGATACAGCGGTCTGGACGGTCCTTACAGCACACTGTCAACAGCACTGGTCTGTTAATGTGACGCTGTTGTTTGCTCTGGACCTGACTGTGCCTCGGGAGAAGCATTAGTGAGACTACAGTGGACGTTGGAGCCTGAGGATCATACGCCAGTCCTTCACAGGAAATGAATAAAGGCCAGTGGTTTTGACTCAGCTGTGTAATGGCAAATAAACACAAGGATTAATCCCCCCTTTTTAAGCTCTTTAAAGTCACGCTCCACGACCATCATTCAGTCCTGATCAGTCTGAAGGCAATCCAGTGTGTGGAGACAATCAGCATCATGGCCCAGTGGTTCATGATAAACCTTAATGGTTAGGTTGGACGCAATCAGCTGATCTCTGCATCAGTATTGGATGAATGGATTACACACAGTTAAGTGTTTATACACGTGCCAACACAGGAGCACGTGGACTGAGGAAGAAAATATATTTCACAGCTGCTGGTTTGGTTTGTTTCACTGATTCATAGTTGTTGTTTTTTTAAACTTTTTATTCAGTCTGTGATAAATTATTCCACAGTGAGGTGGAGGTCGATTTGGCTCCTGGTGCCCTCTTGATTTATGAGTTATACTCTGTAGCCAAAGGTGTACATGGACACTCACTTCATGTATTTTTAAGTATTTTTTTTCTACTGCAGCTGTTTTGGAAGCAGTGTCTTTATTTGGTTTGAAAACAACAATAATCTCACAGAATACGTTTTTATATATCCATGGTTTGGCTACAGGGTTGGTTATAGTTATTGTGTCTGTGTAGGTTCTCAGTCATTCAGGTCATCTTAAAAATAGTTACATCGAGGGCAACTGGACAAGGTAGGTTTAACAAATGTAAATATTTGTCAACAACTATTTTTTATAACCTTATATCCTTTTTTATTGTTAAATAATAAAAAGGTGCTACTTATTTGTTAACTATTTGTATTTTCTAATAAACACACAGCATGTTCATACAGTATATATTCACTACTGTAAATACACGCGTCCCACTGGTGTTGCTTGATTTAATTTCCAAATCAATTTAATATGATGCCCTACATATATTTAATAGTGTGTGTCTGTTTTCATCCCCTGTGAGTAGAACAGTGGCAGGTGATGAGACAGGAGGAGGATGGAGGTGGACGGTTCCTCCATCCTCCTCCTCCTCAAGCCACTCCCAATCTCTCTCTCTCTCTCTCTCTCTCTCTGGTGATGCTCCTACCGCTGCAGCTCCTTCATTTCTCCCCTCTCTCTCTCTCTCTCTCTTCTCCCCCTCAGTCTCCACTCAGCAGCAGTCATGGCGACAGTGGTCCAGCCGCTCAGTCTAGATCGAGGTAAGGATCGCACACCCTACACGCGGGTTTTTCCCCTTTTCCTTTCCTTCTTATTCTAACTGTCAGTTTGCCCTGTTTGCTTTTGAAAAGAAAAAAAAACTTCAACAAAAACCTAGCAACCATTCGTTGACAGGAATCTGTTTAAGAATGCGTGTTCTGCCCGCTTCCATGTACTATATACTGAAAACAACCTCATCGAGTCCGTGCGTGCAGAATGGTGCGCTCCTCTCCTCTCCTCTCCTCTCCTCTCCTCTCCTCTCCTCTCCTCTCCTCTACTCTCTTCTTTCATCTCCTTCCTTTCTTTCTGTGCTGCCCTTTCGCCATCATTCACCAGAGTCCTCACTACTGCGCCTTCTTTTCATTCTACATCTACATCTACACACAACCTGTTCTGTTTTTATTATTATTATCTCGTCACATCGCAGCTCCCTCCTCTCCATCTGTTCACACACAGAGTGAACAAAAAGCTCCAGGCAGTATTTAATAGAAAAGAGAAATCCACTTTGAAGGCAACTTTTGCTGATTTGATTTATTGCCTGTTTTTTTGCAAACAGTATCTGGATGTTTGTTGTTTGATTGTTCTCACTTTTTTGATTTTTTACCATGTAATGTTACTGAGATTTCTGAATGCACGGCAGCATGTGCAGTCAGAGCCTGTGGGATTTCAACATGTATATTTGTGTATCTTCTAATCTCAGAGCCTCCAGGGTGAATTCTCTCACGTTATTAATAATGTCGCTCTGATGGGAGCGCTGTTAATCCTACAGTATGTCGCTGGGCAGTGGACAGATCTTTTAGCTATGCTGGAAGTACAAGCGATCAACAGTAGCATTATTTGTTATTATTTATTTAAGTACCAGAAAGGAAGTAAAGTTAGGATTTGTTCGTCAGTGTGCTGAAAAGTGGTCAAGTTGTAGCAAAGGCTAAATGAGGCTAAATGTTCTAGAAATATCTTATATGGCATTTTGAATTTGGATAGTCTGAACAGATGGTCAACTTTGCAAGCCAAATGTATCATTTCAGGCATATAGGTCATGTTATTTTTCAAAAGTATTTGCCTACAACATGACAAATAAGCAAATATGTTGTTGCGCTAGCTAAAATGTAGCAAAAATGATCTATTTCTATTTACGCAAAAGCAAAATTCAGCTACCAGCACAGCTAGCTAATAAGTAACTTTGGTTTGTACATCAGGATAGCCTCATTTTACAAAATGTATTTACATTTTTTTCTAAAATAATGTAAAAATGCTGTAGGTTAGCTATTAAATTGGTATTGCTAGGACATTAGCAAAGGATTTACCAAAGTAATTAAAAAGGGTCCAAATTATTAGAAAATAGTCGGCACAACGCTAAATGCTAATATGGAGAAAACATCTAAAAAGAAAGTAAAAAAAAAAGTAAAAGTGAAAGTAAAAAATAGCCCAAATGTGTTTGCCAAGGAACATCTAAATCTTATATAAAAGATGATCCAAAAATAAATAGTAAGTAAAAATAAGTAATGCTGCCAAATATAACTAAAATGTTACGGTAGAAATACAAAAAAAGGTTTAGAAAAGCTCTTTAGTGACAAAAATCTAGAGTACTCGACCTTTGAATCTTAATATAAAAGTCTATTTGGATCACAACTTTAAAAAATATCCCAGTATCAAATGCACATCTACGTGTGAAATATAATCTGACCGAAGGCTCACATGTTGTCAGGAATAGAGAAAAGCCATGCCCTGCAGCTATTTCTCCTCTCTGCTGAAAAAAGTCCGACTCATTTCCCAGTCGCTTCCTGACAAGCCTATAAATAACTGGTACCGGTGGCATGAGTTATGATGTGGGAAATGATCTGACAGGTGTCACTTGAAATGGGAGAATCCCAGTGATTTCGGTTCAATCGATCAGTTTCTGAGGGGCAAATGAAAGAAGGAAAAAGGGAATTAGATTCTTGTCCTCATGCTCAATTGCAATTTGTTCCCAGCTCAGGTTTATTGCTTTTGTGCAGCCGAGCTTCACCTCCGCACCATGTGTTGTTTGCATGAGTGCTTCACTATGGATGAAGAGTTGATAAAACCAGATTGCTGCAGCGGATGGGCAGTAGACGTCTTGGTGGGGGGAAGTGGAGACATTTTTTTTTTCAAAAATTACAAAAGTAAAATGCTTGCCAGATCTTTCAGCTATTGAGTCAGATGTGACCTCAGTGTGTTTGCCCGGGGGCGTGATTCATGTTGTCACATGCTGTGGCATGAATTTGACCAGTCAGCAGCTGTAAAGACACAAACAGTGGTAATGATAGTCTTGGAAGAACGGCAGCGTTATCGTCCCTCTCCCTCAGATGCTGCTTCTTTGCTGGAAATACTATAATTGTCTGTGAAAAGCTGGTTTTGTTGGGCTCTACCAGGGCGCAAAAACAAGACAGGCTGCTGTCTGAGCCTGGTGTCCACTTTACTCTGTAGGTCACGGCAGGATGAAAACACTGCTCTTCCTGTTATTGTGGCAGGAAATGATGGTGATAAGCAGGAAGCAGACGCCCGATCAAGGTCGATGTGTTTTAAACGTCTCTGTTCTTATCACAAAACTCATCTGAGCCGCCCGTAGAGCTGACATTTCAGCACAGAACAACGTCTCTTCTGGAGGATGACACTGTGTACGTGTCACTGTTGTCAAATACTTGTGTTCAAACCTCTAGGGCCGTCGTTTCAGCAGGCAGCACCAAGTAATATCTGGCCTGCCACATTGCTTTGGGAATATAACTCAATTACACATTTTTAAGATGATACTATTTGCATACATCACATACTCACCTCTAAGTTACATTATGGCTACGATGTCAAAAGTAAAGTCAAACACAACTTTTTGTCCAAGTGAGGAAAGCTGGTTTTATTTTTAACTCAACTCTTTAAGCTCCTGTCAGTAATTTTCTGTTTCTTGCTGCTGCTGCTAGCGTTCTAAAAGTAACTCTCAAAGTGCCCCTCCCCATGCTATAAATCCACTTCATAGATTAGTTGTAGCGTTGTAGTTCTACAATGCTAATGTTTACGTCAGTAGTTTTAATCATGCTAAAGTCTCTAGGTCTTTCTTTAGATACAACTTTGGATTTGTGGCTAATTGCTAACAATTCCTAAGCTGTGCCTATCTTGCAAAGTTAGCAGTGTCATCTTTTGGCTAACATTTGCTAACTTGCTAATTTGTTGCTGCTACAGCACCTACACTGTTCTTACAGTGTGATGTAATGTTGATCCTGCAGAGGGTAGTAGTGACATTTTTGGCTATGTTTTTGCTATGGTAGCTGAGTCACCTTGTGACTAACTTCCCATTTGTTACCGGTACTACATATCCATACCATTAGTACCATTAGTACCATTAGTACCATTAGTACCATTAGTACCATTAGTACCATTAGTACAGTTCCCCATCATTAAAGTCCAGCTCTGGTCATATTATAAAGGACATTTTCTTTCAGATATGAGATGATCACTGTGAGCAAATGTCACCATCCTTACATGTAAACCTTGGGGATGTTGTTCATCTACATCTAATAGCCTGACCTGCTGATATATATCAGATGATTGGACGGATGGATGAGAATATGAATGAGAAGATGCTCAGATAGGGGGTTGAACCAGTTCAGCAAACAATATATGCAGGAAGTGTATCATTTTATTTCAACACGTGTTAAAGAAAAAGTTGAAGAGGACATTACGACGGTTCCAAAAATATCAAAAACAAGACGCTGCACTAAACATCTAAAATCAGCGTAGCTTTAACCTGTGACTGGTTCTGTTTCAGCTGTGATTGCAAATCTGTGTGTGAACACTTCAAGGTGAAGCTCATACTTCTTCAAGTATAACTTTCTACGTTCTGTTTCTGTCGAGGTTTGTCGAGTTAAGCAGTTTTCCATGTAGCTCACAGCCTTCTCTCTGACGACTGGAGGAATTACAGCGACGCTGTGTTTTTCCAGTCCTTGTTTTCTGCTCTGAGACCTGACGTGTATCACATGCTCTCAGTCACACCTGTGATCTTAAGGATTAGAGGTGTGCCAGCAGGCTGACATTACTCATAGAGGTTAGTACTGATATGGTATGAGAGACCAAGGTCACAGATGACCAAGAGCTGGAGACAAATGTCAAGGAAATAAAATAACATCCAAAATAACTAAATATTAGCCAAATAAGTAGCCAAAAGAGAACTCTAGTGACAACCAGACTATCCAATAAAATTGCTGCGCAAATTATTTGAAAAAGACGCCAGCACATATTTAACTTTTTTTTTACCAAAGAGTAAAACACCATTCACTAATTACTAAAAAAAATGAAACATTCTCTGAGAGCGCACTCTGTTTTTCCTCTTAACGTTTCACCACAGGCTGCTGCAGGAACTGTTAGCCCTGCAGGAGTGATTCATTAGATGTAGTTTCAGGGGATTTGTTGCCTTTAAGAGTGAATTTATTTGGTTTAGTGGAGAAAATTGTTGCTTTAATTCTCTCTCATTACGTTGGACTAATGTGGGTTTATTGGCTGATATCAGCGGGAGAAAAAAGTTCCTAAATGCTCCGAGGATTTGGTTTAGAACAATTGGCTTTGACAAAAAAAATTCTTTGCTTTTTTTTCTCACTGGGAATAAAAACATATTTGATGTTTTTATTCCCAGTCAAAGTCGGCATTTGCAGCGTTCCTCTCCGCTACTGCTGCAGTTTGATGCTTGTTTGTTTAGAATGTGACACCCAATTGGATTAGGTAAAGTTCAGCCCCTGTTACAAACAGATGAATTATGCTGGGAACTCTGGAACGCCGCCAGGCTGCGACGATGCCGAGGAGCTTTGTGGAAAACCTTCATTACGTGTCACAGAGGGTTTGTTCAGCTCCGTGTCTCCTCTGTAACCAGCGGATGATGACGATGACCTTTGTCCAGCCAGTGTGAGGGAAATAAGCCACCAGGACGAATATGGATCTTTGTTTTTTTTGTGGACCAATCATCAGCCACAAAACTGATATGAGTCACTCTCTCTTTCTG